GGTAGGATTTTCATTATTTGTGGCTTTTACCTTGGTCATGTGACAGCTGGCGTCGAATGGGAGGACATGGTGAGCCTTGACCAGAGGGAGCTGTGGATGGCGCAACAGATATAACAGCAGAGGGTGGAATAGGAGCAGCTTCCCGGTCAACACTGGGGCTGACTGGCTCATCTATGAACACAAAGCATTTAGTGTGAACACACAGATGCAGATAAACATCATATATATTCTATAATATGATGCGTTTCCAACTTCAGTATCTGTCTGCAAGAATGTACAACTGCTGCGCTATGACTCACTGATCTGTATCTCAATAACTATGATCTGTGGGATTTAGAAAGGGGGGGGAGAGAGAATCACTCTTTTTGTGAATCCAATAGCTAATGTGCAGCAACACATCGTCATCTAATGCCTTTTCCTTTTTAGCAGCAAGAAAGAGAAGGAAGTTTTTAATTCTCAAGTACCACCCACTCTTGGCACATCAAGTCTGAAACTGCTCAGAGTACAAAGCTGCTCTCGGCAGCCATGGGGCTTTTGGAGCTAAATTTAAAAGCAACTGTTCTAGTTAAAGCCTGAGCCCAACTTTGAAACGGGGCAACGGAAAAAGGATGTCACCATCCCCTTGAAAAGATTTCTTCAGCTACTTTGCTAAAGTTGTTTCCATCACTAAATTTAAAGTCTTCCATCCTTTTCAAACATCTGATAAGCTCAATATAGGAGGAAGTAACACTTCTAATAAACAGCACTCTGCATGCAACAGCTCATACTCCTGACAGACAAGAAGAGGGTGGTTCTAGCTAATCCTAAGCAATTTTCCCAGAAACCCAAAATAATCTGCAGGACCTCCATGATGGAAATTTACTGTTTCCATGATAAATTCCGTCTATTTAAAAAGTCATCTTTTTAAATAGATGGAACAAATCTGATAGTTATTCAATAAAATTCACATTTTTAGCAGACTGATACAAGAGGTAACAAAACAGAATAGAAAGTACCAGCTAATACTGTCTAGTCAAAATAAGAAACTATATTATTTAAGTAAAGTGAATTTATCCCCCTGTTTCAGTCTGAAAACAAATCCCTTATAAGTCTTTGTTATTGGGTATTGACCATTTCGCTGAAGAACAAAACTCAACAAGCACAAACAACAGTAAAGCCCAAAACAAATGACGCAAAATCTAACTGCAAATAACAGCTTATCCCCTCTCACCGATCCCCTTTCTACCATTTTCTGTGATTTTTAGAGAGACACACGAAGAGGCAGACAGATGGACAGACAGATCATAATACATAATACATACATAAAGAGAGACAGATGGAGGACACACAAAAAGACCCAGAATGCAGAAAAGAAACAAAGGGGAAAAAAATTTTTGTAATACCCGTCCCTCAAAAAATTGGGACGGGTCCTCTTAAAAATCAAAAGGTCATCCATCTGCATTTCATCAGTATTGTCTCTAGAAATGTAATAATAGCAATATCCACATTATTCCACAACATTAAACAGAGTGACTGTTCCCTTTATTTATGATTATTATATTAATGCAAACAATTACATTTTGACCGTTTTAATTCTCATCAGACTTAAATGCCCTTTTTAAAATGGCAGACACACATAGGCAAAAGCAAAACACTGCAAGAAACTTGACATACACTTAACATGTTCATAGTAAGATAGTTACTTTAGAGATAACAACAATTTAATCATCACAAAATCAATTTTGTGACTATTTAAGTGTAATGTATCTGTTTTGAAGGGAGAACATCCAAGAAAACAATGTCTCAGAGAAATTCAATATAATCTAAAAGGCTTAAACCATCCTTCACTCTGCCCTGGTTAAATCAAACATCCCACAAACACACACTAAAAGCCGCAAAAACTGATTAATATCATCTTCCCAGGGAGATTAGTTTATCTGTAAACACAGCCTGCATCTCCCCACCGCTATATTTACACACACCGAATCAGATTAACAGTGAAACCATAGGTGTCAGTTAACCTGCAAGCATCGGAGTCAGCTTTCCATCCATCCACCACTTGTGAACTGATTTTTATTAGTGCCTATAGTGCTAATGCTATTCAACCATCTACAGTATTGGTACTACTGGTCTGAACAATGTTACTACGGTCTGCGGTTGTTGCCATGACAACGAGCAGCAGCACAGCAGCAAGGCTTACTACGGATTCTCTTACCGATGAATGGAATGGAGTCCAGAGACTCGTCCAGGTTGCTGGAGCAGGAGGTGTTACACCGTTCCCCAAGGCGGCGCATTTGGATCTCTCGACGTGCATCGTTAGGAAGCCAACACGCCACCACATCGGCCGTGGAGTCACCTCCATCGTCATTGACAGCCAGGATGTAGGAGGGTTGCCGGAGGGGGCTGGGGTTTTTTCCAGATGGAGCCTTCTCCCTTAGAACCACGATACTCTCGGAGAGGCTTTGCCCATTTACTTGACTCTGGGAATCTGAGTGAGGTGGCTTGAGGATGCTAGGCCTCTGGGGCATCTCTTTGGGAGCAGAGCATGAAGAAGATCTGGGTCCTACCAATGCTGCATCTCTGCCTACCTCAACAGGTTGCATGGTTTCAGCCCGCACCCTGCTTTGAAGTTGCTGGAGAGCTTGGCCTGCAGGGCTAACTTTGCCTGAAACTCTTTGGTCAGCGAAAGAATGTTCAACACTTGAACTCTTTGCAAAATGTAAGGGTCTGTCAGAGAGCATGGGTGAAGAGCGAGTTTGAAGAGAATCGTGTCCTTTAGTATACAGAGAAGGGACTGGGGGCCCCCTCATACCGCCACTGTATCCCACAGAAGGCCTGTAGACCATGGCCTGCCTGGGAATGGCTTGCCTACTGAGCCTCGTACCTTGGTCTGCCCTTCCATATCCCCCTCTCCTGTCACTGGGCCGGGCCAGCTCTGCAGGGTCCACATAGTCTGTGGATCGGGCCCGGGATTTGTGAACTAGGCCATCTTGGGACACGCTTCGAGGGGGCCAGTTCCTTGCATTACTAATCCTCTCTGCACTGCTCATGCGATCCTGTGAGGCACTGCGAGGGGCAACTTGAAGGTGGTGTGGAGGTCCTTGGTATGACCGGTCATGGGAAGTACTCCTTCGCCGTATCACCTTAGGACCCCAGTCTCCCCGCATAACATGATGAGTAGGGCCAAAGCTGGCCTGACCAGCAGCTCGTAAACTGTCCAGCCTCTCCTGGATAGTCCGACTACCATGAGAATGGATCCCTTTGTTGTCAATGTACTCCCTGTATGTCTGGTAAGTGCGCCAATCAATGCTCTGGTGGTTTCCTGGGTAGTTTGACACCTGAGCTCCATATGGAACCATTCCAGGACCACCGGGATAGACATCTGCCTTTCGAGGTTGAGGATACTGGGCCAGTGACCCAGGCCTCCCCCTAACAAAGGCAGGTTCCATAAATTCCATCCTGTGTGCTGGAACCATGCGCCCCATATGGGCTGTATTATGAGGAACTACCACTGTCCTCACACTGTCATTGCGCATGCACACTGCTGTTTGGCTCTTAGGATACGATGCCAGAGGTGGTGTTGGAGGCACAGTAATCTCCTTACGGTACCCATGGTCTGGAGGTGCTGTTGGCGCTCGGCAGACCTGCCCCACCGAGTCTGTCGGCTGGGCCATGCCCGTAGGCTTACAGTCTACTCTGGGGTAGCATACTGAAGGTGGATCAGGAATGTGACAGGCATTTCCGCTGTAGCTACTGTGGCCACGGAGGTAGGCATCCTGGGAGTAGGCCTAGAAACACAGCAACAGAGAAATGTTTATAACAGATGAGAACAAGTAGCAATTGCAAAGTGTGCATAACACACGTCAGTTCGATACTAGCTACTTACAGAGAAGTCAAGCGTGATATTACAAATGTTACTGCATGTATGTGTGTGGGCAGTGCATGTTGCAGTGTGAGTGAACGCGGAGGCGTTTCAGGCAGTTCAGCTGTGTCAATGCTCTTCATCTGCTCCTTATTTAGAATTCTCATGGTAATAACGTAGGCTAGTACAGTATATAAACCAAAGAAGAAAATTTTTAACTAAAAGAAACAATGTTTCCAACACATTATTTTATTTTATTTTTTTAAATGGTACAGTGTGGTGTACTGGTGCTTCTACAACATTACAGCCTGTGTTCTCCAAGCTTGTGGTTACACAACAGCTGTCCTTTTTAGTATAAGGAAAAATGTCTCGCCCATCCAAGAAACAAACATTTACCACAAACGCTAACACCAAAAGATAATTGGCAAATGGTGCACAAGCCTACTGAACTTATTTAGCCCCAACAGTGACACTTTCTGTAACACCAGTATATTAATAAGCTAACCGACTGGTTTATGGGAACAAAATCGATAACATAAAAACTGTCATAAATGGACATAAATGTGGAAAGATAACCAATGTTTCCATTTACCCACCTCAGACTGACAGATTACAGCCTCAGACTGACAACCGGTTCCTATCGCTCACAGAGAAACTGCTATATTTATCCCCCTGGTTATTATCCAACGTTCGGAAAACCATGCTCCATACACATGCTAATAAAGTCATTTCTAATAAATACAAACCTAAACATAAAACTTCTTCTAGCACATTAAACTATGTGCTGTTTATCTGGTATACTCAGCATACTGTACATACAGCAAAGCATGAGACCTGTAAAGGTATGAGGACTTTGATCCCAACAGCCTTACAACCTTTCATAAAGCTGTGTGTTTCACAGAAATCACTGACTGACTCAGTTCTTCCCTTTACAGTTCAGAGGTCAATGGCCTTTATCAAACTAATGACATCTGACATGGAGAATGAAGAAGGGGCGAGGCCTTGCTGAGATGCCAGCTGGATGCCTACTGAAGTGTTCAATCTAACAGGTACTGCAGGCACAGTGCATCGCCCATTTCTACAGTCTACACATTTCAATCATGAGCACGGAGCTGAGTATTAAACACTCATGCGAGCCAACTGAAAAGCAATCATGTAAAACCTGAAGTCAACATCCAGCAGTAACAATGACACACACGCATGACATATGCAAAATGATACAGCAAGCACAACACGTCAACATCAAGAGGCTACCCAGTGTTCTGTTTCCTTACCAGATTAGTAGTCTCCAGAGAAATAGGCTGCCATCACAGCGTGAGAAAACGAGAGCGTTAAGAAATCATGGGAGAGAGGGTGGAAGAGAAAAAGATGCCAGCAGAAGAAAATGCACATGTTGGGAGAAACAAAACAGATTCATCGGGGAGAAAACATGAATCAGCCATAGCTGGGCTTGACATGCTAAAAATATACTAGAGCTGCAGTGGCAGTAGAGAGGGATGAAGAAGGAAAGATGAAGCAGGGGGTTGCCACGTTACGACCTGCCTATGCCAGTCTGTCCTGGGTGAGGTGACAAGAGCAGAAGCTTGCCTCTCATGCTGCTCTCATGTCTTCACGGTTTTATCCATATTCAGCCAGAATATTACGCTAACTGAACAAGGTGCCTCCAGTCTATGTCTCCCTCTCCTTCCCTTTGGTACTGCTCACATGACAGAAGCAGCAGCTGCTGATTATACATTCAGCTGTGATGGTACAGCTCCCCTCCCACTCCATCCTCCTCTCTCCCTCTCCCTTAGCATCAACCTGTTCAAAACACAGGGCAGTCAGCTGATTTTATCTTCTGGTTTCAGCTCATCATTCATCCTGTTCCTTTTATTTCCCACTCTGCTGTATTTTCTCCGCTCTCATGGTGTGCCGTCCTCTTCCCTTTTCTGCTCCTACAATGTTCAATCCATCTCTTTGCTAAGCAACTGCTGCCTGTCTCCAAGCACTGAGTGTGCTGCCTCCTAAAGTGTAACGTCTTGCTGCCAGCACCTCCAATAATCCTCTTGTTCTTATGGACAGTTCCTATTCGTGCCTACATCAACATATTTTTGCGCGCGCGTGCGTGTGCGCATGTTTGCCATTTGCAACACTGCAACCATGGATTTAACAACACACGTGTTTGAGGCTGAACTGTGTGAATGATTACAGATGGGAAAAATGGAGGCAGGAGGGAAAGAGAACCTATCAGGGAGAAGGGGTGGAGTGACAGTCAATTGGTTACTAGAAAAGAACTGTGGGAGTAGTCAAGGGAATGTGACCAATAATTTATTTCTCTCTGATATTTACAATGTTAATTCTAGTCGACTCATTAAAATGCTATACATACAGTGTAACGTTTTACATAACTTGCCTGTTGTGGGAGAAATGTGAAGCTTGCAGAGAGATGACCATTTGCTAAACAGGATTTTGATATTGCAAAGGTGGATGCCAAAATAAATGATTCATTGAATTAACCATCAAATTTATTATGAGAATTTAATCTAGCCATAAATGACCCCTAAGGAGTTTTTCTAGGTAACACAGAGAGCCCAGCTCGTTTATTATCTAACTAATGAACAGGATGTCAGATAACAACAACCCCTAGGGAGAGTATTCTTTAGCTATTTGACAAAGCACTTACAGTAATTTGCTATAGATATGAAACAGATGAGTACACTTTCACTTTTGTCTGACTGTGTAAAATGCACAGTAGCTTCAAAGAGCTGCCTGCAGCATGCATGAAAGATTAATGATGAGATCTCAAGTGTTCATAGGTATGAGGACTTATCTCTGCACGTTAAATTGTTTTGGGGACATGCAATACTCACAAAGAACAAAGACAAAGGCAATATATGAACCCTAAATATTGAGCTGTGTGATTAGCACACAGGGTTCACCCGTTTTTGGGTGAAAAGCTGGAACTACCACCATTTTTGTAATACCTAGATCATTACTAATCAATTTTTCCTCCAATCAAAAACCGTAAAAAGAGACAACCAAAAAAAAAAAAAAAAAAAAAAAAAAAAAAAGCTGGATTGATTGCTAATTAATGTTAATCAGTCTCACAAACTAAAATAACAGCAATAACATTACCAAATCATACAGCAACTGATTCCAAAATATAAACTTCAAAATACTGTATTTGTTTACATTTTAACTGGGACTCTCTTGTGTTTAAACCTTCTCATTTTCCTGACTCTTAATCACAAAGTGCTGCCACAACTAAAGCTGGTTTTTAGCTCACATGCAGCTTGGAGGGAGGGCATTAGCTTCCTGTTACCAGTGCCGCTTCATTGACACTGGTAACAGGATAAGCACTGATTAACTACAGCTGATATAATTCAAATGTGATGTCGGCCCTTTTAACCAGCAAAAATGCATTGCATGTGCTACCTATAAATGCAAACTATTCTAACACCGCCAGAATACTTTCTATAGCGATCTTTATAAAAATTAAAAAAAAAAAAAAATCTACACCTGATGCATGCATTTTTTTTTTAAAGTTATTATTACTACTACTATTATTTTAGGAACTGGATCCACAATTGAACCAAACTATCAGCAACCTAATTTTAATGGTTTCATATTTCTTTCCATAATATTTGAACTCAGTTCCCATTTAGCTTTCAGCTAAAATCAGTCCTTTTTAACATTGCATTTTCTGAGAAGTAACAGTAACAACATGCACAGGTTACTGTCGTGGATTTGAAGCATCACTGCCACTTCTTGTAAACCACTTACTCCACTTTTAGTTGTATTACAAACAATAAATTCATTATCTAACTTCTACCTAGAAGTAAACAGCTGAGCTGCAGAGAACATTTATCCACAAATGATGAGAATAAAACTTCTTTTAAAAAACAGTTGATGTCTTTCATTCCTTGGTTTATTTTTAATGTGCATGGTACTTTGTATAAACCCAGATGTATAGATGAAATAAACTCAAAATATATGCGCTATTTAGATTGGCCTGTGTGTCAACAAGTTAAATGTATTTTTTAATAAAGCTTCCTTTACCGCTCCTTTTGGGCCATTTCAGCGGTTCTGTAAGCAGCACTTCTGGAGGACAGAAAGGGTGCACTGGCCTGATTAGGAGGCCTAGATAGAAAACTCTGATGGGATAAGCTAGCTTGCCTACATCTCATAACTGCTGTCCCGACATGAACACCTTAAACTAGAGCAGCTCTGTCATAGAACAGAAGTTATTACAAGGCTAGAGAAAAGAAGAGCACTCTTTCAAAAAAACAAAAAAAAACCAAAAAACTTTTTAAAGCTAATTTTCAAAACAGGATTGCAAAGGAAAACTTACCAGTTGCAGTACATCCTCATCTTTTGGCATTACACAAAGTTCAAGGAAGTCACCACTGCAGGGGAGCAAAAGAAGTTTTAAACAAGGCAAGTAAATCAACAAGCATGAAGCACACAAATTCATACTCAGTCTTACCTGTCTTGGATCAAAGATATAACCTCGCAATAAGCTTTCCCAATGATGCTTGCTCCATTCACCTTCACTATTCGATCACCTGATAGAAAACAAAATCAAAAAGAAAAGGCTTGAGTGACCTCAGTGACAGAATCCTAGGAAAACTTCAAGCTCTTTGTGTGAGGGAAACATGTGCTCATGACAGAAAGTAAAGACTTGAGCACATGACTATGACTTCTTAGTAAGGAAAAAAGTAACATAGTAACATAATGAAAGTTTTCAATAAGTGTGGTTGAAGGGTTCCGTATTGACTAAAATCCTTAAAATCATTAGGGTACCCGGCAGAAAGCAGCAGGCCTGGCTTATGTTGTGCATAACCACGAAAGGAATGTCAAGACAACTTAAAACTGCACTCCTTGCATTTTTGCCCCTATGCTTTCAGTAGGACAATATCATAGAGGAAGTTGCAGACTGTGTTACTGTAATATTCCTCTTCTGTTGTAATGCTGTGGCTTCCAAGAAATTACACCCCCATGAACAACCTCTTTTTGGTAGTTTTTGGTAAATAATGATGACTGGCTGACATTTGACAGACCTGTGCAAAGTCCAGCGCCATGAGCAGGGCCACCTTCCTTGACCTGCTTCACAAAAATAGTGTCCATTGGTTCCAGTCTATTTCGCTGCCTTCCTGCTGATAGTAGAGAACAGAGTACACTTATTTATAAACCATATGCAATACAAACACATGAAAACCTTTCAAATGTATTACAGGGTAGTTCTGAAAATTTACTCTTAATGAGGTTTCCAACTTCATAACAGAGAAAATCCTGACAAAGAAAAGATTTATAAAACCTTCAGAGAAGAAAATCCTAAATGTTTAGTACAAATGACAACAATTTCTTACCGAAGTACAAGCAGACCTATGATGTAGATTCATTTTTTAACCTTTGCCCTTTTTTCACAACTAAATCTAAAAATTTGGAAAAACAAAAAAACAAAAACAAAAAAAACCCAAGCTGACCCCAAGACGTAAAATTGCTTTATAAATTGTCACATATGAGAACAGAGAGGTTTGTCACAAGCTTTGGAAGGATGCAAACCAACATTATGCCTGGATAGTAAGCTGTGGTCTGTCCAATTCTTTCTCAGTTTTCAATAGACATGGTCATTAACTGATTGAGAGAGGGAGAAAAAAAAATTAAACAGGGAAGTGGAGCTTTGTGATTTTAGGGACAGTGATAAAAGAGAAAGAAACCCGTTTGGTCATGCAGCTCCTGTCTCCTAGCAGCTGCAGAGCCATAGAAAAGAGGAAAAAAAAAAGGGGGGGGGGGATACTAAAACTAAGACGAGGTAGAGTGACAGTGTGTTCAGCTGCCTCAACTCCCACTCTTTCCTTATAAACTGAGCAAAAGCTCTGGGCACAGCCAAAGAGTGGCCCAATCGTTAACATTCTGCTAGTGAGTCATCCCAAACTAGAGCAGACAGAAAAGCCAGCATGAGAGCGGGCGTGATAGTATTAAAATACTCCACATTTGTTGTTGTTTAGAAATTCAGACATGATCTTGTAAGACACCCAATGATCATGCCACTGACAGGCCGATAAAGCTAATTATTTTTACACCAGGCCAACCTCAAAATGTATTTATTTTTTTCTCCCCCTCCTTTCCACACACCCGTAATTACTCATGCAGAATCACATCCTGGGGACATTATGTAATATAGTACAAGACTCCCATACTGCTACACCAAAAGGAGATGCTCCATCTGGTGGTATTCTGAGAAGTTGCAAGTCCTAATTTCTTCAATGAAGCCATCTAAAAATGCCACTAAGAACATCTAGATGCATGTTGGGAGTTGCACTGAATAAGAGACAGACTAAAACAAATGGCAGTATTAATGTCACCAAGGTATAATAGCTCACACATAAGCTTAGCACCTCACTAATCCCGTTGGCGCCAAACCATTTCCTGTGCATAACCAGCAATTATCAGATCACTGGTGAACCCAAACGTGACCAGAGCCATGACAGAGCATCTTTGTCTTGGGAAGAAGCAGACTCTTGTACAATTTGTGAATGGATGGTGATGTGGCACACCATAACCACAGCACATCCATAACTCGGATTCTTTTTTTGGGGGGGGAGGCTTGTTGGTTTTAAGTAAATTCCCATTTCCGTCTTCAGAATAACAACCAGCCTTCATCTGAATGATCAGTTATGTCAACAGCAAATTAGGGTGGATGCAGTGTTTTTAAGACTCACTGAGGTCTAATTACCAAATAACCCGAAACCCGATTTTAAGGCACAAAACTATGTTTATTAAACTGTTTAGAGACGTTGGGGATCGTCCTAAAGGTCATTTTCTTTTTCGGATAGTTCACATATACCAATTCTCTTGTTTGTTTTTTAACATCCTTGTATGAGTTTCTATTAACTTTAACATTTAACCTGGATGTGGTAAAGGCTAGCAGCAATAAGACAGCCACCCTTAAACATAAGTCTGTTGCTGTAATTTGCTGTTTTCATCCATATCCATTAAGGTCAAGTTCCTTAAATGACTTAAAAACTTTTGAGAAAACTCTTTATGATTCGTTTTATATTATTAGTGTTTCCATCACCTTTTCATGTGAAGGTCATCTATGCAATGAAGCTCTTTCTGTAAGTAATTCTACTTCATCCAATTCTTCCCACATTAATTTGCCTCCTACTGTTGTCCCGACAGATTTTTTTTGCAAAAATACACAAAACTGATGGGACCATTTGCACAATAATAAAACTGAGTTGCACTGTAAATAAACCTATAGAATACTGCTTTGGTGTATTTTTATTCTGAATAGAGAAATACACGTCAAGAACTGATTCATAACAACAACAAAAAAACATCAGTGGTACGACAGTGCAGCTTTATCCTCCACGTTTTGGGGAGGCAGCATGTTTGTTTGTTTGCTTGCTGACTCAGACTGGACTGAAAAGCCCTCAGGTTGGCTTTTTTCTTGCTGCCTGTGAGCCCCTGTGAGGAGCATTATAAAACTACCGGGATTCTTTAATATTCTCCAGCTTACCTGATCCAAAGCAGCAAAGCGCTGGGCAGAGTGCTGGGCTTCTAAAGTGTTTCAATTTTGGGCGGTGAAACAGAAATAATATACTTTAATGGCACCTTGCTTTCCTGTAATGTTACTTGAGGTTTTATATCTGAACAATAAGCAAGCTCAATATCTGCTGTATAAAGTATCAGAAAGTGTTCATAATAGTTTTATTAGAATAAACACCTAAGAAATTAGCTTGGAAAGACATCTCTGATTTAAACAGTAAAGTGTTACAGCTTGAAATTTCTATTTGGCCTAACTTGTTGAACTGTGAAGGGAAAAAAATACCCAGAGGTGAATTTCCTTTTTAAAAAGACCAACACTCTTAAAGATGGCCACTAAAGACATTCTTCAGAAATATTAGATTTTGTTCATATTAGCCACTAGACACTAACACTTAACAACTTTAGATCGTGATCTTCCGAGGACTTTATGGGGCTTTCCATTTTGTAAGAAAACAAAACGATTACTTGTACATTTACCGTAATAAATAACTTCAACATGTGCGAGCAAATTTACATGGCTACTTTCCAGCACATGTTTTGCTTTGCCATGATTATAAATGTCTCATAGATTTACTGACACCCACAAAAATAAGTTGAGCAGATGGACCAACGTTCTTATTCAAAATAATTGGAGCAAAATTTAAATGAAATCCATTCTAGCCCAACAGGTACAAGTACATGCTCGGTGTCCATTGAAGAATGACAACACAACATTGTTTGAAAGATCTGAAAATACTTCTTGCAGTTTCAGTAATTGAATCTAGACATTTTCAGTCTCACTTGGCAAAAACTCAAGGACAGTGCATTTCCTCAAAACTGGCCTAAATCCCAAAAAATACTTACAAACAAATAAACATTACAGGCACTTTTCTAATTTCTCTTCTTCTCTACTTTCTGTTTCACTATATCACACTTTAAACAAAGCATGTGACGTATTGGTAACTTCAGGCTACTCCGGTTATTCTGGTCACATACCGAAAAGGTAAAAAACAGTAATGGATTGACATACGTCTGCCATAGACAGGGTGTGAATATTTATAACGACGAAACCAAACCATAACACTCACTGTCAAACACAGCTTGTTGAAAACTGAGACCATCTCTTTCTAAGGGCATGAAAAAGGCTGAAAAGCAGCCAGAACAAAATGTGTAGTGAGGAGAGTCAGAGCAGGACAGAAAGAGGTGGTGCTAAACAAACCTTTCACAGAAACTACATTGTACCCAATGCACTTTATGTACACATAAAAAAGGAAAAGCTTGGTGTATTTTACTGCATATAGTAACTATCTTTACATAATATAGTATTTTGGGGTTGTTGTTTTTTTTAATTACCAGTCTGTTCTTCTTATTTTTTTTTTCTACTTTTGTATTGTTTTCTAATACATCTCTAATTCACCTCTTCCTTTTGGCCCTTGTGCTGCAGTAACAAGCTAATTTCCACAGTGTGGGATTAAATAAAGTCTGTCTACTCACTACGTTAGAAGAAAAAAAAAAAAAAAAAAAAGAGCTGAAGGGTGGATGCAATTCAGATGAACTGCTCCGTTTCAGCAGTACTGAAAGGTAGGAATAAGAAGAAACAGCTGAATTTTTCTGCTTACCTCTGCGGCCATGATCTTCCTCCTGTAAAAGCACAGAAATCCTCAAGTGACTTTGCTGCTCATGGTCAGAGTCTTTTCAGTACTAGGCTTTTTGCTGACTTAATGCTATCTTATGTGATAAGAGGCAAACAATACTCAGGTCAATAAAACTCATGAAAGTTTCTGAGATGTGAAATCTACCGGAAAGTAGTGCAGCGTTGACTCCGGCGGGTACACAATGAAGTGTCGAAGGGTGAAGCCGAAGCCTTGGGATGTGCGATGCAAACGCACAGTTTTCGGCCTCGGCCATGAGAATGGCTCGTCATCTGTTGGGTACGGCGCTGCGGCCGAATCAGCCAAGCTCCTCCACTCTGGAGTGTCACTCTGAACAAAGAAAGTTTTAAGAAGCAATTGAAAAAAAAAAAAAAAAAAAGCATCTTTTTCTAAAGAAGATTTAAAATAGTTCTGATTAAAAAATTTTTAGCTACATAATCTAGGAATGGGCACAAATAAAAAGATAAAGTTAAAGTTAAAAAACAAAAAAAGGAAATAAAAACAGAACTGCATCATGTGTTAAAAGCCCCCACAAATTCCCACATCAACAAACATCCTTTTCAGAGGAATTACTGTGCATTAGCATAGGGTCATTCATTTCAGCTTAACATAGTGTAGAGGAGAATGGGCTTATGAAAAACATTAGGGGTTGCCCAGTGTTTACCATCAAGTCATTTCAGAGTATCCCATTTACACAGCTGGAGTAGAGCATGTCAGGCTTTAGACATCACTCCTGTGTTTACTGACTATTTATAGCTTCACACCTTTGTGGTATCGTGTTTGTAGCAACGCCTCCTTTATACAGAACTCCTCCTTTCAAATATGCACTACTATTTCAGTTCGCAAACACTTTTTGGGCCATCTCTCATTAGCTTTTGAAGGATGGCCCAAAAAATAAATACAATTAAAATCTACAGCGTCGTTAAATGACGCAAGCCTGTTACTTTCACATCACTGCACGTTTTACTGTTTGTGTTTGCAATAAAGGCAGCATCTGCTGCGTAAAACACAATGTAAATGCGGATAAATTATTTATTAGTTTGTTCAGCAAGTCCACAAATGTCTTTGTGGCTTTCACTTTCAATGGTATATTATCAAGTATCTTGCCTAATAAGTCATCCCCCAGTGAATGCAAGCCTTAAATGGTTTTGTAATCACTTATTTTCCTCATATTTGTCAAACTGTGAGGACAGGATGCACAAACACAAGAAGCATGTCCTTTTATTCTCACTGTTTTCAGAATGTATATGCAAAATACATTCGACTTTTTCATTGAAATTGTCTTAAAGAATAAATACAAACATTAAAAAGTACATCAGATATAAATATAGCATTGCAAATATATAGCAAATATAAATAAAACACTTCGACAATAATGATTTTAAAAACACAAAAAGAGCTTAACGCTTTGATTAAAATCCATAGGCTCACACTTTTTGAAAATTTCCAAGTGAAAATAACAACTTCTTCATATAATTAACAGCTGGTTTCTGTCACTTAACATAACAGCTTATAAATCTGTCCTACATAACCTCTTTTTTTTTTTTTTTTTTTTTAAACTGACCTCAAGCCAGTGTTTATACCAATCCTGTCATTCTCCACTATAACTTTCAGAACACCTCTATCCAATCAGCCTTGAAAAGTCTCAATAAACATAAATAAATAAATCTAATTTCCTCATCCTGTCTCAAACCCTCCCCCTCTCCACTGAAGCACAGACTTTCCCCAACAATGTGAAGAATTTGATGAGCTTGCATTCAGGCCATTTCTGCTTGGGCAGAAATGTTAAACAAAATGTCAGAAAACTGGGAGGAATTACATCCATTTTCAAACAACCTATGAAAAGAATTTGAAAGAATTTGTTTGTACACATTAAAACAAACAAACAAAACTTGTTTTTGTTTGTTTTAAGCAAAACCAAACAGCTGTTGCACACAGTGATGAACGGACAAAACAAACATTTCAAAAAACAGTTTGTCAGCACAGACCTAAAACTTTCCAACTTTCCACCCAACTACTCTTGAGTACTTCGCAGACTGATCAGACTGTCTCACACTCATTGACTCTTCTCAAATGTTATGCATGCCTGAAGGTGTATACCAAGTTAAGGCATGTTACACTGTGTTCTCTACAGCCTTCTTAACAGTCTTATTTGGCCACTTTGACCAATATATTGCTGAAAGGGACAAACTATTTGAAATACATTTTACTTCAAGCAACATCACAAGCAGGGCACATAAAGGTTTCAAATGTACACAGGATAAGAAACCAGAGCACTAATAGCTGGCTGGGAAACAGAGCTACAGGTGCAGCTGACACCCATGTGTTTTGATTAAACCAGCAGAACAGGTTTTCCTTTGAATGAGCTTTGGCTGTACTGTGATACCAGCACTTCCACATTAAAGTCTATGTCTGTATGAGCTCTGGTTGTATTAAATGTGTGCCCAGACGACTGTTTCTGGTGATAGGACTGGATGTTTGAAATGCCTGCACTGCTGCCCTTGTGTCTCCAGGGCAAGTCAGCCTCAGTTTACTGGATCAGATTTAGCAACTTGTCCAGAGAACAATTTCCCAACCTTTGATCTTTAGACATGGTCTGGCCATGCAGTGTTATCATTGCCACTCGCATAGTTATTAATGATGTGCCATTCCAGTAAATTCTAGATGGGCATTTCCCTCACTTAATTTAAAAAAACAAAACAACAAACAACAAAAATGGGTATTGTTGTGGAGGAGTTGTATCAACCTCACAGTTGATACCACTTTTAAACAACTGTGAGAAGAGGTCAAAGGGGAAGCAACATAAAAGAAAATCATGACTTGTGAAAAAGGGGCTACAAAGAAAAGCACATGAAAGGAACGTCCACATCAAAATATGACACACCTCTCTTTCCTGCCCACAAATGAATGCCTCTCACCTATTTATGAATCACTAGAATGCCAGACTGTTTGCACTGGGTGAGGCAGTTTGGAGAAGGTTTGAGAAGGCATTTGCTAATCTGGTGGACGTCTGTTGGAAATTAAAAGTGACCAGACCCGCATCTCAAATTTTGCTGCTGTAAATAATCACCAGAGGAGCAAATATCAAATATTTAGAGGTTTTAGAAAATTGCCAAGTAATTTTAAAGAGTTCCTTTTTTATTCTGAATGAAGGGTCTAAAAGTCAAAGACAGCCTGAGAAGCTGGAAAGACAAAGACAAATGCAGTATTTGAGTTTTTAATAGTAGTGTTTCAATATGTTTGAGCTAATAACTGCTTGATCCAGCAACACCGTCTGCACACTCAGACCAAGCTAAATGTGAAGACGTGTTGCTCCTTTGTAAAAACACATTTCTTTCCTCAGTTTCCTCAGATGCTTTTGTTTTTCTACTAAGGGAAATATTACCATTACTGCTCTATAAAGTAAAACCTAACCCAGTTCCATATATTGATCCCAAATGTTGACTAAATCTCTAGTAAGAACCACTAAAATTATCAATTAAAAAAAGAGGGGTAAGAAAGACTGACAGATAAGATTACAGTAGATACAATGCATCTACAAGAAGACAGACCCACCATCACTCTTCTGCTTTCTCCATGTTCCTTGTTGCATCTGTACACTGTTGAGTCCTACCATTTAAATGCTTCCCTGGGTAAAGAATGGCCACATAATTAAATAATGTGACAGTGGAAACAGTAACACTACTGCAGTGCACGAGCATTTAAAACACCAGCACCCTGTGACGTTGACTCTGAATGGGTCGGTTGTAGGGAGTTCAGTTAGTGCATCACATTGATACCTTGTTTATGTTAACGTTTGTACTGTAACGTTTGTGTTAGCTTACCTGTCGGAAATTTCTCAGGATCACGCTTGCAAAAAGGAACACCTTTTTAGTTCTGCTAGCTAATGAGTGAAATGCGATAGTAAACCAATACACTGTCAGTTAAACAGCATAATTGGCATTGAACACTAAACCATATAGGGAAACTATGACATGCAACCAAATTTGTGATTAGTAACGTTTTTTTGTTTGTTTTTTTAATTCTGTTTTGTCCTGTTTTACTTGTATTAATCAAAGGCGTGTAGCTGATTTTGTCCTGTAAAGACAAACTCAGCCACATGACTTCAGCCACTCTGTCAAATGGCTGAAGTCATAACAGAGCGCATCTTTAGCATGGTTATTACCAGCTGGGAACATCATCTCACTCCACAGCATGTACACTGCAATTGTGAATTCATGAACTGAACTGAATCATCTGTAAACTTTGCAAACTTGTTATTTTGGACTGAAAAAAAAAGTTTTTTTATTGAATTTGAAGCTTTATTTTAACTTATTGACAGAAGCCATTTTTAGTTTCCTAATTACACACTTTAAAATAAAAAAATACTACTACCACTTTAATTTTTATTACGTAATTTTTTATTTACTTCATTTTTATTCTGACGGCCCTATTGAATATTGATAAAAATACACATGTGATTATTTTCAAATTCATTTGTTTCCTGTGTCAACAGGGTGATATTCACAAGTGGGCAGAATTTAGCAGGTGAGGTACTGGAGCCTAAAACAGGAGGTTTGCCCCGAGGAAGCGAAGATCAGAGTTTTTGAAAAAAAATTGTTGACTAATCAAATGATCAAAGACAAACTGGCAGATTAGTCGACTACATTGAGAATCTTTAGTCGCAGTCCTAATATTAAGTACGGATCGCACCATACAAGAGCACTGAGATGCCTTAACATATCAAAGACCATACCTTGTCTTAATGCACAGACAAAATAAGTGTCTTCAGAAGTAAATGTTCTTTGACAAATGACACAGGAGTACATACACTGTTTCAAGTATGCTGAATCCAAAGAACAGGTGGTTATCCCCCAGGAGTTTTTATGCTGACTGCACCATTGGTGCCCCTACCACAGAGATTAGAGAGCAGTTTTCACATAAAAAACTGATATGCAACAACATGACAAGTGTTTGTTAACAAATCTTATGAAACCACACTGCGAGGCCTGTATGTCTGAAAGCCTCTGCTGACATCACCAAATCAGACATTACATGCACCACATGACATCAGCTTTCACATAACCTTCAAATGTGAGGAAACATAGTTCTCTGTGGGCTGCTAAATTCTACACCACATCCCATCCAAACCAAGCACTTAGCTGTGAAAAGCCTAAGATAATGATACAGAGAGCCACTGGTGAGCACTGGGCGTTCCAGCCTTGTACTGCAGGACAAGGTTAGGAGAAGTATCATTACTCAGTCTACAGTCTACACAGACACGTGGTGCATTTTCTGCACGCCACACTTCTACTTGTAACATATGGATGAGAAGGAAATGACTGAATGCC